AGCATCAAACAAAGACACGGGTTTGAGTCTTCTGTGGCAATCATTTATCCGCGCTTTGACCAGTCGTCTGCAGGTGGCTTTGACGATCTGGATGGCCTCCTGTGTGTTCAACGGGGGCTTAAGTTTGAGCCCGGCCGGAACAAGGCCGTGATCTTTACAGCGGTGATTGAACCAGAGTTGTTGTCGTATTCGCCTGACAGTGCTTGCGTAGGTGATGTAGTCATTCGCAAGTCTTGACTGCCTCAACCAAGGTAGAATTAAGCAAATCATATTTTTCCTGGACATGTGTAAGACTCAATACATCGGACCAGTCGTATTGTGTAATACAGCGACCAAACTCACGGATCCTACTAGGCCCGAGATCCCTTTTAGATGTAATGTTCACAGAAGGGGTTTGATTTGGTGGAGTAGTCCTGGGCCTGATCATTTTTGGAGCCAAATGTAATTAGGCAAAATTGGAGTCGGACGAAACTGTAAAAAAATGCTAAGCTATGGTCTTCGAAAATGGCAAGGAACCCCCGCGCTTATGCACGAAAACAGTACTAAGACCATAGGTACTGGGTTGGCTCTGTTCGGACCAACTGAATTTGAAACATAGAGAGCAAATGTCTGGAGAAAAAGGGTCGATTAATAGCATTTATGCAAAGAAGTGAGTTGAAATATTCATCTTGCCTTGACACTCCTTCCACGGCTCGTGGTAATCTCACGTGCTTTGAGGGTTACATGACGCTTCAGTTGTGATGCCCTAAAAACACACTGCTTGCCCGTAACACACCCTTTTGCAGTCCGGCACAGTTATCAAATTTGATAACCCCAATGGACTTCATAACAGCGACTGTTCATAACTTGGCGAATTTTCGGAGGATGTCAGCTTTGTCCTTCAAATTTTCGGTTGTTTACGCGTTGTCTACCGCAAGTTCCACGCAATTAACTTAAGAGAAAGACGAAATTCGCGAGTGCACAAAATGGCGGACTTTGGTAGTTGATTGTGTGAGTTTTTGCATGACGATGGCCAGACCTGAGACAGATTGTCTCAGGTATGTTTGTAATCTTTGCTGTAAATTTTAAGGCAGTTGCGAATTTTTGTGGAACACGTAGACAAATTGCCGGGTTCCTCAGTTATTTTCCTTTCCATCCATCGCATACACATCAAAGGGCACAAAAAGTTGTTTGTCTGTCTGATTCCGCTACTGACCGCCATGCCGTTCAGTTGCTTATGCTTCTAGGGAATGAGCAGTGCGGCTAGTGTCAAATGGCAGAATTATGGATGTTCACATGCAGAAAATAGTCTCTTTGTGTGGTTTTTTTTTGTTTCTGCCAAAACGGAGAACTGATGAATTCCTCCCCTGTGGCGTGAACAAATACCTGAGCCATTTCCTGGACATTGAATTAAAAACCTGGTTACACGTTAAGAAACGTAACAGGCAAACAAATAAAGAAGAATGCTAGACTTTTTAAAACAAGAGTAAAAAGAGCTCATGAACTGTTTAGTGGCGATAGAAGATATTCCAAACACAAGTCTTATGCAATAACTAGTGCTCTAAGTGTTAAGTAATTACTTTGCGACGATGATCGAATCACAGAGCGCAATCTCTGGCACTTCTGCAGCGTTACATCATGTTTCAAGCGCGAACCTTCAACTGTAAAGTCAAATTAATGACTGTGATCACAACATTCTCAGATCTGATATGCAAATACGATACCTTGCGTGTTCTCACGTGCTTTGGTGAACGTAACGCTTACCGAATCACACTTTTCACGCGTAATCTCACGCGTTCACAACGTTATTAACCCAGCAGAGGCATGGGACCTTGCCAGCGACGGCGACAGCAACGAGTACATAGGGAAACAAAACCTCGACACATGGGTTTCAAAACATCTCACATTTTGTGGCAATTTTCTACATATATAATAACAGCGTGTAATCACACAAATTTGTGTGGTCTGAAAACGGGAACCACGATTACAAACTCTTCACATTACAATAAAAGTTAGCTACATCATCTTAGAGCTAACTTTTTATTTGAACTTTTTGCACATGATGATTTTGTGAATTTCGTCTTACAGAAAGTGAAGTTATGCTACAACTAAGTAGCTGACGCGCATAAAAAATATAATTGCTTTGCGAAATATGTCCATTGCAAAATCACATTATCATTGTCCCGGACATTTTATTCATCAAAGAGACTCATTGAAAAATGCATGAGTCGAGTATTTTTCAGGCTAGTTAGAATATCATGACGTAATTTCTGTAGCCCAGGAGCATACGCGTATAGGCGTATAGATCACGGGGTAAAACAGTATTGTATAAAATACCGCAGTTTCCTTTCTCATCGTTATGCACAATCACAATGAGTCAAAAAATCAACTAATCACAGCGAAACCAAATGTTTCAAAACGAATAGTCGTTGTCATTGGATCCCATCACCTGAAGAAGACTAGCTGCATGCTGTCAAAACGTTGAAGATTCGTGAATCAACGCTGAAGTAACTAACTTGTGATCAGACTAACATTAACATCCTGTCTCCTAAAGTAAACGCAGAGTATGTTGCATTCTCAATACGTAAGTCTTGAGTTTAGAGCGTTAGCCGTTCGGCTAGGACCTTCGACGACTGAAGTAAAACTCAAATCGCGCATGAGGTAACAGCTTTCCAAAATTCGGTAAGGCTGTTTATCACCTTTACTAACTTAGTAAATCATTTAAATGCGCAAACTAAAACTTGACTTTGCAATGATTTCCATTCTCGGCCTAGCCTTTTCCTCCTTGTTTCCACTGTTTCCTTCGCAGAGTGCAGAAAAGTCAACGAAAGGACAATTTCTGGACGACTTATCAACTGCTTGAGGGGGTGCGGCAAGGAGATTTGTCACACTTCACTTGATACTGTTCCTGATGCGACAGTTTCGTAAGATGGCGGCGATAAGTTAGCATCCGCTAACATTTCGTCATCTGTGTAACATGGCGGTGGGTCACACTGAGCCTGTGTCCTGGTGTCATGCGTATCATTCGTTGTTACCTCCTCATAAGAAGGAGGGTAACCTAAGATTCTCGTCAAAAGAAAGTTTAATTCTCTTCTTGATGTCGATAAACCTCTTGTTTGAGCCTCGCTGTTATCCATCTGTCCCTCGCGAAGCAGCAACTCGATGTATTCGACACTGCGTGTCAATGGACTTTCGTTTCCTTCCGTTGTATTCTCTAACCCACTTGCTCTCTTTTTAATGTAACGTATACCAATAAAACAAAGTCCAGCCAACAATCCGAAACAACACATTGTATAACCTCCTGTTTTCATATGCGAGCTGTTATTTGTCACTCCAACTACAACCATAAGGATTCCGCATAGAATGAAAACAACGATAGCAACTGCTGTCTTATACAGGCGGGACGAGCCTATCAATGACCGCCTATGGTAGCCGTGGTACCAAACTTCACTGAGTTCTTGCATTTGCGCCTGTTGTATCAAACCAGCCTCTACAATGATTTGAGTTATTCTGAGAATTTTATCGTGATGGTAACGTTTTTAACCAGACGGTCGTGATTTGAATTTTATGCCTGATCAACCACGCATGCTGAACAAAGCAAACGATAATTTGTTTACTAAAAATATCTAGGACGAATTTTTTATATCAGGAAAGCCGCCAAGTTAATCGCGTCAACAGTATCAGAATTTCAAAACATGCTGTTACACTAATAATATAAACTAATCAAAGTTTTAGGACTGTTTTTTCTGACTTCACAATCATTAAGAAAGCTCTTTTTCGAATTAGCTTGTCAATTTGCTCTGCTTTGATTATGTAAAAGCTAACCAAAACTGATAAAACCTATCGCTGCGGTCAAACGTTTTCAGAAAGACGTCATTTGGAGCCGTTGGCCTCAGGCAAAGAATTGATTAAACATCAAAGAAATCAAAGGAATCGCCTGGTTATGGAGATAAATTCCTTATCCCTGATAATCTTCACGTTTGTTTTTCTTTACCTGAAAGAATATCGTAAAGGCCTGTGCTTGATCAACTGGCGAATATGTAAATGCAGGATTTTATCCTGTGTTAAAATTTAAGATTCGATAGCTCCCTCGTGATTCAAAGCATCACAAATATCCTCGACGACAACTCATGTGATATTCTTATGTTTTGCATAAGACAACCAAGCTAAGATAACTTAAGTTCTCAAGTTATTTTCGCAGCACACGAACAAGGCCGAATATTAATGAATCATAGTTTTCCTGCGTTTAATGGTCTTAAACTAGTATATTTTAGCTGCGATATATATTCTATGTGAATGTATCTCATGATCATTTGGAAAAATAGGCAAGTTCAAATTCGTTGTAAGTATTACATTACGGATATGTGAGCAGATTTAATTTTACTGAGCCAAGTCAAAAGTGAAGCCTCTTTATATATGGTAAGGAGAAGTTCCTTGCAAATCAATTTTTCGAACAGGGTTCAGTTAAATATTAATTGCTTGAAGCCAACAAAAGAATTCGCTAGATCGTCGGGTGAAGATCATGTAGCGAGGTAATATTTTCACTCCCCCTCACCAAGTTTCTCTGCTTTCCTCACTGATCGAACCGGAAGACCCATATTAACATTGAAGATCAAGGCTAAACTTGATAATGGGATAGGTGTACAGAAAATGAAGTGCCAAAGATTTTACTCAAAGTCATAAATGGTAGGTATTAAACTCGTACCCAGATACTACCATGAAATTGAAAAGTGGAATTGCCTATTCGTGGAATGTCTGGTACGAGACTAAGTAGGTGTTACCAGGCCCTTGGTTGTGAAACTTAACGTTTCAAGATGTACTGTGCCAGAGTTTACCTTCCTTTGTCAACTTATCCGCAGCCAACTTATCGTTTAGTACAGGCTTAATTAAACATAAATAAATTTTGTATTAAAAAAAAAGAATTGAAAAGAAACTAATAATAGCATGTGAACACGATTGATTCGTAACTGACGGAACTCAAACAATGTATACCTAGCTCCTAGTGCATTTGAACATTTCGCGAATAACTATTATATTTATTGCGTCCCTTGTCACGCAGTACACTTTTTTTAAGATATTCACTAAGGGCTAGTTGACTCCAAAAAAAAAAAAAAAATTTGGCAATAGACCACTTTCATAAATGGCTGCCGGATTAATATTCTTTTGTTTAAATTTAAATTAGCCCTTCTTGCCTCGCTTGAGATAATGTATTCTTTTGAGTTTTGAACTGGAGAACGCGGCCAGAAAGGCTAATTCAAATTTAAACAAAATAATATTGATCCAGCAGCCATTTATGAAAGTGGTCTGTGACGTCAATCAGTGACTGAATAAACTGAAGAGGGTCAAGAATCAGACGGCCTCGAGGATAGAGAGGGGTAGAATATCACGAAACGATGGTGCTGAACTGAAATAAGTATACCAAATTGTTAACAGGATCAGCGAAATGCTTCTCTTTTAATAACTTATCATTCATTTAGTGCTGGACTTGTGTAACCATGTTGACCACTTGGTTTACTGGTAAAAAATTACGACCTATTAAAAAAAATATTTTCGGATAACACTCTAGGCTATTTTTTTTCTGGCATCCTGGCAAACGAAGATAATTACTTAAATAGAGAAAAAATTATAACAAAAATAAAGCATTGTAAATCAGATAATAATATGATATCTAAGCTTTTACCACCGAATGATTTCCTTTTCGACCTGGCAAAATTCCGATACTCAGTTGTTGTAGAGAGCTCTACTGCGAGGATCGTGCATCATACGTATTTAATACCGCAGTTCATTATATATGAACTTCATATATACATTGTATCTGATTTATCATCACGGGTTTATTACGAACCAACTTAACGACCTGTTCCCAGTTGGCTTGTTAGCTCAATTGGTAGAGCGCTGCACTAGTATCGCAGAGGTCAGTGGTTCGAATCCCGTACACGCCTGATTTTTTTCAGGTCTGATTTTCGCTATTGCATAAATAGCGCTCTCTACTGCGAGGATCGTGCATCATACGTATTATTCTATCTCCTACTCTTCCCCTACCCTGTCACCTCGAAAATTAAGTTTCCCGGGAGACCACGTCTCCGATCACATAAATGACATCTTTGATTGCCGTGATGCCAGCATGGTTGTCCTGATACTTGTAGTGGTCATCACAACTGACTAGTAACAGGGGAACGTGGGTTCAAATCCCGCTCAGGGCAAATTTTCTTTTCAAACATTTATTCTATTTAAGTATGATTATTTGGGGTGTACAGGGTCAGGGTTTCCCTCGTATACAGATTACATGTATATATATATTTTTTGCGTGTAGAGCGTATCTTAGAGCGCTCGACTCAATCGATTGAGGGGCAAATCATAACTTCACAGAAGATCAGGTTTTTCAAGCAATCACCGTTTATTGCTACAGACCTGTTTCGTATGGTACTGGACCACTCATCAGGCAATTTAACAGTTCAAAAGAAACCTATATGTATATTTTTTTTGCAGATAGAACGTATTTTGTAGAGCGCTCGACTCAATCGATTGAGGAGCAAATCATAACTTCACAGAAGATCAGGTTTTTCAAGCAATCACCGTTTATTGCTACAGACCTGTTTCGTATGGTACTGGACCACTCGTCAGGCAATTTAACAGTTCAACAGAAACCTATATATATATATATATATTTAGTATAGTTTCAGAGCTGTGCAAAGAGTTTCCAGCAATCTGATTGGTCGAGCGGTTCCTTATATGACGCTCTATAAACCGTGCGGTTTATAAAATGTTAACGTCTTCTGTGAGCAAATACCGAAATCTGCTACACGAAATCTGTGTCTTACAAAATAAAGAAAGAATTTTGATTTTGACGCAAACTATGCTGCTGTCTCCAATATATCATTTGTAAAAACAATCGAAGTGCATGCGTGGTTAATATATTTATTCCATGTTGGTTATGGGGACGTCATCTATACGTCTGTCCTCCATAAGAACCAATCAAAGCGTTTGCATTGTTCAGCCAAGGTCTAATACGATAGTAATCTCGAGCGCCTAACCTCATTGTTAAATACAACTTGTAAACACGTAATTTGTTATTTTATCCGCGCTCAAAACTCGAGCATCTGCCCGCACCCGTACTTGCTGGCGAAATTCTTGGCAAGCAAAGAAACTGCTCTTTCATGCTCTTCGGATGAAGAAGCATGAAATGTTTCGGCATGTGTGACTAAAGGACAGCCGGAAAACCTTTACGTTAAAAAAAAATCATCCTTAGTGTGGTGTTTTGCAGGTTGGTTTATAGAGATTGGAACTGAATATTTGATGAGATGAATAACTTGAATTCAAGCAGCGGAAAAGGTAAGCTCTCATGTTGGCATTTAAATGGTCGTATAGTTTTCTGTGCGGCTTTCAACCACTGAAATTTTAAAAAACGGTTTGAAAACAAATCTCCTAGCTCACTTTCACTGACCCACGGCGTCAGCAGGGATAGAAACCATTGCGTAATACAACTTCACTGAGAAGGTGAATGTGAGGTGTAATAAAGTGGTAGACAATTCTAATGAACAAAGCAGAGAAGAAAAATGACATAATAGGGAATGCAAGTGTATGTGGGGTGTCTGGGAAAAGCCGGGTAGGTAAAATTCTTAGAATGGCGGAATGGCTGAATAAGGATGGAATAAGTAACTAACTGGAATAAAATAACAAAGTGATAAAACTAAAATACAATTCAAAGGTATGTAAAGGATTGCTTCTCCTATTCTGTTTGCCCTAAATTAATGTTTGTAATTATTCTATCAATCTCTAATAGGTTGTGACTTAGTGGAGCTGTTCAGTGACACAAGCAGAATCATTACTACAACCGTTTATGCGGTAACGATCATATGTGGACTGGTTGGAAATGGTCTTGGCCTTTTCTTAGCGTCAAGAAGGAAGGCTGGAAATCGCGCAACAAATCTGTTTATAGCAAATATGGCGGTGGCAGACCTACTTGTTACCCTGTTTGCTATGCCTTCTTCGGTCCTTTTCATCAATGTGGGCCAGGAATGGATCGGAGGCGTCATTGGGCAAGTTACATGCAAGTTCGTCCATTTTGCTTATCAAATGTCAATTCCTGCTTCCATTTTCACTGTTTTATTGGTCTCGTTTCATCGTTATTTTGTTATCTGTCATCCCATGAAAGCAAACGTGTTTCGAAATGGCAAGGTCATGACAGCAGTTATCTGGATATCTTGTGCAGTATATGCAATTCCATTTGTGATGGCATATGACATAGTCGAATATAACGATGCCAGCTATTGCCTTCGCATATTTTCCCCATTTGAGTATCAGAAGTCCGGACAGACCTACTATTTGGTTACTTTCATTTTACTTTACTTTGTCCCTTTGACAATCCTTTTGGTCTTGTACAGCCTCATTACACACAGACTCTGGCAACGAAAAATTCCTGGTAATGTCAACAAAGCCAGAATTAGATTAGTTCAGAGGGAAAAGAGAAGGATTATAAAAGCTTTGATTCTGATTGTCATGGTTTTTGTAATCTGTTGGATTCCAGCTCATGCTACGCACTACTTGGCTTATTATCGCACGGATATCTATTGCAATATACCAGCCGAAGTTGTAGTATTCTTCTTTTGGCTCTGCCAGGCTAACAGTATTATAAATCCATGTTTGTATGTGATGATAAGCCCCAGCTACCGCAAATTTGTAGTGAGAAATTTCGGGCGTGTTTGTTCTTGCTGAAGCCATGCCAATTTTAACTCTTTTAGGATCAACAAACGAGGAACGCGTTGCTCCGATAAACCGAACTCCTTTTGGGGAAAAGTACCTTAACTTCCTCGAATAGTTTCGCACACCAAACGGAAATGGCATTAATGTTCGTAAAACAAGGCTCTGGGAAAGGAAAAGTGAAATGTTACAGTGGCCGAGAAAACTGAAGTTAACAATAATTCGTGATGATCAGTGATGTGTCGGCTTCGGTGTTTCACAACGCGAAAGATATTGCTTCGATAGACGTAATAAAACCGTTCTGATTCTGTGAAATGGTTTGTTGAGTAGGCTAGATATAACGACCTACCAGTCTCTGCAATTTTAAGCTCAGAATTGGAAAGTAAGATATTTCAGTGAGATATGAATAGAAAAAACGTCGGCTCGAGATAATTGTTATTGACCAGTAAGCCAGTATCATATCTCCGTATCGTATCTGTTGTGGATCGTGTTTTAAAAACAGACAAGCTTGGTGATAGAAATAAGTGCTTATGTCCCTCGTAAAACGGGAAAATAAATAAAACTATGTAGATAAACAGTTTCTGTTGTCGTGTAATTCAGAGTTCTGAATGAAGAAGACACTTCTAACGCGCGTCTTTATTTCAAGGTGTAGTAAACCCGTCTATAAGCCATAAAGCTCTCAAAGATCTAAACGACACGTTTTGGAGCAAGAAAGGCCACTAACCGTACGTATCAGTTAAATTTAGTTTCACCCGAGCAAAAAAGCAATAAATATTGACTTGAAAGCTGAAAAGTGGCTGACGTAAATCCTCATAAACCGAGGCTCTCAGGCTATGAAGTGTCAACCACTGATAAGGATAAAAAGCCCATATTGTATAACGAAAATATGTGACAAAGCCAAAACATCCGAGAAACATCGTGACAAACTCGAGTAAGTACATCATAGGCGAGAATTAGTCCGGTGGCCAACTCGAAAGCTATGCTACTTTGGTCACTGTGCACATTTGACTTTTGATTATTGATGTAATTTACTGTTTTTTTATATATTCTGACTTTTATAATCTATAGTAACCTCTTGAAATAGTGCGAATGAAGAGTTTCCTAGTTTCCTTTCCTAGACTAGTATTGGTGACTGAACCTGAAGAGTGGGGCTTAATACGCACACTTTTCAACCTACCACATCTCAGCTCAAGGCAATATGAAAATGTTTCAGTTTCCTCGTCCACCTAAGCCACTGTTTCGATCGAATTAATTAAAGGCTGACACAGTCTCAGTCATCCTCCGTGTGAGTACTGTGTATGAAACTGTTACATCGGTATTTTTACGTACGATACAAAACCTTAAAGTTCTGGAACTTCAACTGAGATCCAATATCACGAACCCTCAGCTTGAAACGCAGAAATAACTTTCTATTTCGCTTGGAGAGGAGCTTATTTAGTCATTAAAAGGATATATCTAGAAATAATGCAATCTTTTCAACCATGAAGTACAACCTATTTTATTATTTCCTCTATTGTCGGACCAATAAGGCTAGTATTGTTTCTAAATAATAACAAATTAAGAAATCTATGATACTAATGAATACATCTTGAAATTATTTGTTTCTCTTCATTCCGGGTTGTTAGAATATATAATTTCAGAAGGGGAACGTTGATGTTTTCAAACAGAGATAATGATCACTCGCCAAGTGTTTCTACATTTTGCTTTGTATCTCGTGAGTCACAAAGCTGTAATGGTACGCAAGCAGGGAATCTATCGATTACTACTTGCTTACTTTTCGTTGAGTCAGTTATGCATGTTACGGGCTGTTAGAGGAAAGCAAACTACACTCTCCAGCGTTGTGCACCACAGTAACGAAGGAGAAGATCCGTTTAAACGAGTACAAGAAAAACCAGAACTGAAGTGATGGTAAGAGTTTAAAGTCCTTAATATACAAGCTGCAACTAATCTACAGTTCACGCCTAAGCTCAATATGGCCGAATATTGGCTATTATTAAAAACTGGATCATTGGATAACGCAATTCAAGAGCCATTATGGTATATGAGCCAATATACCATAATCTAATATCTGTACAGCGTAATATCCGGTTTCTTCCTACAAAATAAAGTCGAGGAGATTTGTCTAATATCTTTGGGGCGTTTTTTTTTAATAAAACAAGTATTCCACTCGCGCTTGTTGGATATGAGATGATTATAGCCAACTCGGACGGTGAAGAAATAGGGATCCATGCTTTCGAAGCATGATATAAGATCAAATATGGCACATAAGGTGCAGTCGAGTGGGTCAATTCAGTTCTTCCTTCATTTTAACGTCTTCTGTGAGCAATTACCGAAAAGACTCGCTGCCACACGAAATCTTTGTCTTACAAAATAAAGAAAGAATTTTGATGTTGACGTAAACTAGGCTGCTGTCTCTAATATATCACGTGTAAGAAACAATCAAAGTGCATGCGCGATTAACAAATATATTTCATGTTGGTTATGAGGACCGGTCATCTATACGTCAGTCCTCCATAAGAACCAATGAAAGTACTTGCATTGTTCAGCTTACAGTAAAAACCCGCCTACAAGAACATGTGGATTAAGAACACCCAGGCTGAAATTTGGTAAAAAAAGGGGTATATATATAAAAACACATTTAGCCTGAAAATTGAAAACTGTTCTTATATATAAAAATTCTTCCCTTTTCAGTTTAATAGAACAAACAGTGTCTGTAGCTTTACTGTGGTATTGCACTAAGATCTCTGCATAAATGCTAGTAATTTCACTTGCTGTGTATAGCAAATGTACAACAACTGTATTTGGAAGTAAAAGTCTTATAATTACATGAAAAATATGCTCGGTTGTGCAATTTATTTTCTAATGTTGTGTGTCTCAAGTTTAATTTTCTCGCAAAGTTATGTATTTCATCATAGTTAGTAAATCCCTTACATTTTTTTAGAAGTAAAAAATTAAAAACACTTAAGAACACTTTCAGGCTGATTTGACCTAAAATACCCGATATATATATATATATATATATATATATAAGAATCCAATCAGCCTGAACCCCGAAAATGGGTGTTCTTGCATACGGGTTTTTACTGAATCGCATCCAATACATTAGAAATCTCCAGCACCTAACCTCATTGTTAAATACAACTTGTAATCACGTAATTTGTTATTTTATTTGCGGTCAAAGGTTGAGCATCTGTCCGCACCCGTACTTAATGGCGAAATTCTTGGCAAGCAAAGAAACTGCTCTTTCATGCTCCTAGGATTTCGTCACGTTGCGTATTTGCGAGAAAACGCGTCCTCCTACATGCAGTACGGCGATGGGACGTGTAATTAATACCGGTTTCATATTATAAAAGTTTAAGTGAGAGTCACTGATCGTTTGTACTCGTTGTATACAGCGGCACACGTTGGAAAGGGTTGCAAAGCTGTTCAACACAGCCACAGGATGTGACGTCACCAAGTCTCCGGACCACAAACATACTCACAAAAAACAACCTTGTTCCTAAGAACTTCAAACAATCATACCTAATAAGCCTCACTATTTGTACAAATAAGTACAAATTTACATGCTAATACCTTACATTATTCGGGTGCGTCTAGAGTCAACCTCGTTCCCAAGGCTCTGGGAACGAGGTTGTCCTAGAATGAATAGCCTCATCTCCTGTACAGTTTGCTAAGTCTCATGGGAAACAGAAAAGTTGGATAATTTTTTTTTCTATTGAATTAAATTGATTCCATGTTACCATGCTTCTGTTCAGTAATAAATCACTAACTACACCAAAATGTGGTAAGAACAAAAATGAATTGGCACAAAAGACACGGCCAAGTGTGTCACTGATGTTCTTTAAAAGAATTTCACGCGTTCTGAGATATATTACAAAACAAACTTACGGCAACTTTGAATCCATTTGTTTTAAATACTAAAGAAACATCTGTCTTAAAATTACAGGGTGTAACCCATCAAAATGTGTGTATAACTCGGCTTAATAAATAATAATAAAAAATTAATAATAACTAATAATAAAAAGAAGAGAGATCAAGAATCGTACTGCAATTCCATGGTAAGCATATGTAGTGTTTTCTGTTCTAAAATAGCAACAATCACGGCACTGTAATCGTTGAATTTTCCAATCTTTCTTTTATTTTTGAGTTATGAATTTTCTTTTCTCCACTTCCTATTTGCTGGGAGAGTAGCAGTCGGTGTACTATCACATCATGTAGTGAATAAACACATCATGCCTCTCCTCAAAATTTAGGAATTAAAGCAGTTTTTAACACGAAATATGTAATCCACTTTCTCCATGGGAGGGGTACTTGGGATTGCACTTTGCTTTGTAGCACTTTCATAGGACGGTGGAGGCGGCATATCTGTTGCTGGATATGGCGAGTAACCTTGTCCACTTTGCGGTGGGTAAGGGTGTTGTGTTTGCGGAGGATACACTTGTCCTGTCAGATACTGTGGATAAGGTCCCGCAGCGGGGGGTTGCGGGTTATTCGGGTAAGGTCCCGGTTGATATCCGTACGCTTGCCCATAAGGTTGTTGAGGTCCAAATGTGTTGCCTGGAGGGTACTGAGAAGTTGGCAACGCCACGGGACCCGCTTGACTTGTAGATACAGTTCGAGTGGAGGGCGGTCCGGTTATAACTCGGCCTTGACTTTCTTTATGTTGGACGTGACGTCGATAACAACGAACCAACAAAACTTTTTTCTTATTCTGATTAAGACTTACATAATTGAAAATTCTTATTACAAAAATACATGATTAAAATGGTTTGCTCCGCAAACAGCTAAGAAGCTAGTCGCGGCGGGGCAAAACAAGAACGTGATTGAGATAATAAGTTATGGAAGAATAATAATAAATAAGGCAAACCTATGTTGATAGAAAAAAACCTTGCAGATTGCAACTAGAGATAAATAAAACACAGAAGTTGGGAGATCAAATTAACACAGCACTTACGGACGAACAATGTATAAAGACAAGGAGTTGTAAAAGGAAAACAGACGTAAATTGGGACCCTCAGCGCTCGTTTCTATGATCCTACTTTTTAATAATCATGGGGATTTCAATATACTCATCCTCTTCCACTAATATATCAAGTAACAATTTGCGGAGATATTTTTTGAAAGCTTTCATTGGGAGATTGGTTATGTAGCTTGGTATCCCATTCCACAGTTTAACTCCGATCCGAGAAAAAGAATTGTTTTGCATATTTCCAGTCTAGAATATGTAACATAAAATTTGCCAGACGTAGTGAGTGGATATTAGACGCTTTGTGAAATAAATGTAACATGTTTGCTGGGGCTTTACCATTATTCATATCGTGCATTAAGGTTGATACGGACTCATAGTAAAGAAAAGTTATTGGAAGCACGTCAGCTTCGAAAAAAAGAGGAATTACATGGTCATGCCATTCGGCAATGTATAATAAAAGAAGCACTCTTTTCTGAATAATTAGTATTTTGTTGAGATAAGTCTTGCATGCCTCACCCCAGGCAGCAAGACCATAAGTTAAATAAGTATGCGTTAATGACTTACAGATGTTCAGTAGTACAAGTCGGGGTACAAAATGGCGTAACTTTGCAATTAACCCGATAGTCTTACTAATTTTTGTTACAATAGAATCAATGTGATATTTACATGAAAGATTCTGATCAATAAGTACGCCCAAGTATTTTATGTAGACTTTAGACTCGAGACAAGTATATTTATTCTTATCATTATCAAACATGTAAAGTTTTGGTTGGTATAAGCAAGTCGCTTTTGATAGGGATGAAAAATTACAAAGTTGGATTTCTTGATGTTAAGAGTTAGTTTGTTAGCTGACAACCAGTTATAAAGGTTTTGTAGCTCAATGTTGACTATTGTCTCAAGATCTTTCAGATTTTTGTCCGCATACAGTATGTTAGTGTCGTCTGAAAATTGGTAGAACCTAAATTTGTTCGAGCATCTGTGAATATTATTGACATAGAACAAGAAGAGCAACGGTCCAAGGATTGATCCCTGAGGAACGCCACATCCAACGACAGCTTTATCTGACATATGATGGCCTACTTGTGTTGTTTAAGTGCGATTTTTGAGATATGAGGAGAACCAATCATTATTCCGCGAAAGTCATAGTGATTGAGCTTATCAAGTAAAATGTCGTGGTCAACGGTGTCAAATGCTTTTTTAAGATCAATGAATACTCTACAAGATAGCAATCGTTTATCCATGTTTGACTGTATATCACTGACAATTTCCAATATCGCATGTTGGGTTGAATGCCGCTTACGAAAGCCATATTGTGAGGAAAACAAAAGTTCGTGTCTCTTTATGTAGCTCGTTAGTCTGTTGTAAATTATTTTCCCAAAAACCCTATTAAAATTAGAAAGTAAAGAGATAGGTCTGTAATTGTTAGGGTCAGTATTATCGTCACTCCTGAAAACTGGCGTGATTTTGGCAATTTGAGTTTTGATGGAAAGTCCCTAATTTGATAGATGTGTTAAGTATCTCTGAAAGTATAGAACTAATGACAGCACTTAAATATTTGAGAAGTTTGGTAGGTGAGGAGTATAAACCATAAGATTTGTCATTCGGCACAAGTAATATCTCTGACCTTAATTCTTCAAGTAAAACAGGTTGATAAAAGAAGGATGAAGTTGGGGAATTGCACTTGTCGAGGTAGTCTAAGTGTTTTTTGGGGGGGAATGGGCAGATTGTTAGCAAGTCTGTTTCCTACTGTTGCAAGGTGCTCATTAATAATGTTAGGTATCCGCGAACCTTCCGACGATCGGAAGAAACATTTGTCCAACAATCTGACAATCAAATTTCGTTAGGTTTTCAACCTTTCTTCGCGGCACCAGTCTTCATCTTAGCACCAATCGTCTTCCGAGTCCCAATCGGGCTTTGCAAGGTGTCCCACCACGGTCAAGATGAAACCGCCAAAAAAATATATGACAGTGAAAAAAATTGGAGGACACAATTTGAAGGCAACTACTAGTTCGTATTGAAAGAATTTCAAAGAAACGTGCATCGAAATTATCCTTATAAAAGCAAATTACATTAAAAAATATATGAGAAAGGAAATGACACTCTTACTCTAAAAAAACTGTAAAAGCAAATTTTAAGAATGTCTAGCCTATATTTGCCATAGCATTGTCAATTAAAAAATCTGTATAATAATAATAATAATAATAATGCCTTTATTTGCTCAAAAGATAAAATTACATATCTTATGTTACAATAAAATATAGCAAAAATAGGGGGCTGTTCACATAAGTATGCCTCTAAATAAGATTCATATATAAATGGAAGTAAATGCAAAAAATCAACTGGAAAATTTACACTATCTACGGAACTACATTATACTTAAATATAATTCTATTAAAAAATGTATTCTTAAAACGGTCCGTGTTGATGGTTGGCATGGCGTAAGATTTATTCCTCAAGTTGTATCTTGTAGTCTTGGTCTCGGAGAAATTCGCTCTAAGAGGGTGGTACGGGATACTGAAAACTGAAAATAAAGTCTCTCTGAAATGAATGGTGACTGGGACACACTGCCTCCCTAGCTGGAAATCCTGGATCAGACACTGCATACGAATGTCGAAGAGTTAACCAACCATACATAGGCAGGAAAAGGTGCTCATTCTTGACATCAAAGAACAAAAGAGAAGAAAAAAACAGAAACAAACTCCACAAGCGCTCGGTCAGAGCGTCATGACTTGGAGCAAAACTTCCTACACAGTCCATAAGTACACATTACGTAATAGCCTCGTCTCAGAGATTGATTCAAGCCTCGTTTCTAATCTCATAATATATATATATTGAATTACCTTCGAAGTTTCTACAAACCTTGAAATTTATTCGGATATTCTGCCCGTTCCGACGTCTAGAGTGAGAACCACATTTGATCAGACATCTAAAATGAATCGCCAGCCTCAAGGAGTGGTTCTTTATCAAAGGCCAGCTCAGCATTGTAGCAGCCAAGGCTGTACTAAGTGTCTACTAATTTTTTTCACTGTCATCTGTTTACTTGTCGGTTTCATCTTGACCATGGTGGGTCACCTTGCGAAGCCATTTTGGGGCCCAGAAGACGATTGGTGCGACTTTTGCCGAGAAGACAGGTTGGAACCAGAACGAAATTTGAAGAATTGTCGGATTGTTGGACCAGCCTTTCTTGCGATCGGAGGCGTCTTGCTCGTCATTTCGATCTGTTATTGTCAGGTCCAAAACAAAGGAAATCAAGGTCAAGTTATAACCGGACCGCCCTCCACTCAAACTTTATCTACAAGTCAAGCGGGTCCTGGGGCGGTTACAACTTCTCAGTATCCTCCAGGCAACACATTTGGACCTCAACAACCTTATGGGCAAGCGTACGGATATCAACCGGGACCTTACCCGAATAACCCGCAACCGCCCGCTGCGGGACCTTATCCACAGTATCCGACAGGACAAGCGTATCCTCCGCAAACACAACACCCTTACCCACCGCAAAGTGGACAAGGTTACTCGCCATATCCAACAACAGATATGCCGCCTCCACCGTCCTATGAAAGTGCTACAAACCAAAGTGCTACCCCAAGTGCTCCTCCCATGGAGAAAGTGGTTTAGATATTTCATGTAAAAAAACTGCTTTAATTCCTAAATCTTTAGGAGAGGCATGATGTGATAGTACACCGACTGCTTCATTCCAATCTCTCCCAACAAATGGAAAAAGAGAAAAAAAGAAGCCCTTAATTCAAAAGTAAAAGAAAGATTGGAAAATTAAATTACTACTGACAGTACTGGGGTGGTTCCTATTCTAGAACAGAAAATGCTATATATCCTTATCATAGCGGTTCTTGATCTCTCTGCTTCTTTGTTATAAGCTAAATTATGCACACAACTCGATTGGTTATACCCTATATTGGAGAACTGACATTTCTTTAGCTTATAAAATTCATAGATTCAAAATTGTGGTAGGTTTGTTCTGTAATAAATCACAGACAAGGTGAAATTTTTTTTACAAGACCATCAGTGACACACTTGGCTGTGCCTTGTGAATCCAGAGACTGAAAGTAAAAAAATTATTGTTACTAATATAAAGATGGTTTGGGTGAGTTTCCCAGCTTCACAACCTTTGAACCCACAGGTTTTTTTTTTAGCTTTTTTATTTGTTACGGTGGCCAATTTACAATTTCAACTTAGTTGATATAACCAATTATCTTGTTACCCCCACCGACCCAGCACCACAGTTTCTTTAGAAACTTTCAGCCTTTATTCTTTGAACCCACATCCAGTTTAGGATGGGAAATGAAAATATTAGCAAAAGGGATAGGTAACTTAGCAAGCTAAACCAGAAGTAAGCTATGGCTATTGATGTTACTACCTAATCCTGCTTAGGGGATGGCATCATTATCTCAGGATGAATAATTTATTTATCAGGACTGAAGTATTTTGATTCAGAATGTTTGATGTTTTTACCAATATTTAATCCCATACTCCTTGACTTTATGTAAACATTATTATCCACGACTGACAATAGTAATTTATCTTTGTTATTTTTCATTGAAGAACTGTTTTGATGATCACACTTAATCAAGTCAATGAGAGTGTTAGAGTGGGCAAAGTTTTTATTGATATCTGAAGATGAACAATTAATTTATCAAGACTGAAGTATTTTGATTCAGAATTTTTACAATGAGAGCAGCACTTGGTCAGCTCATGTTTTAAAGTCTCAGACTGCAGTACGGAAGAATGAGGTTCAAGCCTCAGACCAGACTGAAACTCAAGGTCTTAAATAAACTGAGGAGAATGTACTGCCTTTGCTGTGACATCTAGAAATGGTAAAACATTCTGTCCTTCTCCAGCCCTGTCTACTGCATCTTCTCTGTACTGCTTGGAGGAAAGCTTGAAAGAACCCACTCACTTCTTGCAAAGCATAGGACATAGTTCCTGGTGTTGTGGTCTGGCCTATTTATTGTTCATTTAAATTCCCTCATAAGTATTTGCAATAAGGAAAGAGGTGGTCTGAGATTTGCTTGTCAAAATTCTTATGGGCAATGTTCCATTATGCAACCAAGGTAAATTTAGTTATTGAGGTTTTTATAAATAGCCCAGGAAGTAAAGAATGATAACTGAACACCAATGAGCTTGATGCTACACGGTAGATTCTTTGAAACCATTATTAGAACTGCCATCATGCCTGCTCAAGCAAAATAGGGCAAGATTTCTGTAGAACCATACTTCACTATGCATACAGTTCTTGGCAAAAAGTCAGATTCATACTTAGTCGCTATTTATGTGTTTGTGGGGACAGAAGATTGAATACAAGGTTTTTTTTTTCGTCTCTTCCTATGACACCTTAACTAGTGTCAATCCACCATTGTATCCAATCTTATCTCCCAAACGGCCAGCATTGGTTTCTTGGAATAACTCCATATAGCCAGTTTAAAAACTTTGTTACTTATGGAAGTGTTTTGCATTAACAAGAAATATCTTTCCTAGTCACCACACCTCCCCACTTCACCCATACTCACTAAGGATGTCTCTCAGAAAAAGTTCAAAATGATACAAGACTTAATTAAGCCCATCACAATGTTTGATTTGAAAATTTTACAATAGCCTAAACATCGTTCAGAGTTTTGACTTCCTTCCAAATTGTGCAAAGCTCTTGAGGAGACTTTTATGGTTTAAAATGTGACTTTGAAAAGCACTTATGATATCACTGTAGAGATCTGATTTTAAATGCTTGACACTATCTCTATTCAAGGTAATATTTCCTATAGCTGCCTTTCCCATCTGTACAGCTGTATCTAGAAGTTTTTCTATATCACAGATTTTATGGACAATTCCACCAGCTAAAGCCTCTTCTGCTACAAACTGTCGTCCCATGAACACAGCATCTGCAATAACTTTGGAATCCTTTATCTTCACTCTGGCACATATGGAAAAGTAACAGAATGCTATGAAGTACAAAATGCTTGCAGAAGGCATGGTTCCATTGAGGAGGACTCTATAATTATAAGACCAAGGGGAAAAGATCCCATTATTAAAAGGGTGCAGGGCTCGACACTAACTTTTCAACTTAGTAGCCAAGTGGCTAGTGACATCTTAGATCTTAGTAGCCAAACTGGCCAGTGGAAATTGGAAATGACAAGCCAAAACTGAATTTCTACTAGTCTGGCTAGTGGGCTACCCTTAGTGTCGAGCCCTGCTGGTGTGGATCCAGGGGTGGTTTGGGTGGTTCGGTCAAACCCCCGAAATTTTCCCTCAGAATGCTGGAAATCATGTTTCCGAAGACCTAATTTTCAAAATCTTGGACCCCTCAGAAGGGGTGCAGGGCTCGACACTAACTTTTCAACTTAGTAGCCAAGTGGCTAGTGACATCTTAGATCTTAGTAGCCAAACTGGCCAGTGGAAATTGGAAATGACAAGCCAAAACTGAATTTCTACTGGTCTGGCTAGTGGGCTACCCTTAGTGTCGAGCCCTGCTGGTGCGGATCCAGGGGTGGTTTGGTCGAACCCCCGAAATTTTCCCTCAGAATGCTGGAAATCATGTTTCCGAAGACCTAATTTTCAAAATCTTGGACCCCTCAGAAGGGGAACAATTCTCCGAACCCCCCTTGACTAAATCCTGGATCCATCCCAGCCCTGGGGTGGGGGAGGGGGGGAGGATGAGAATCTTATTTGAAATGAAGGAGGGAATTGGGGTGGATACCCATACCAGGAGAAAAATCCCATGATTACAGAGGGGGGAGGGGGTGAGGAGAATCTCCTCTGGAAGTGATTTGGGGAATCCAATCTGAAATTAGAGGGGATACCCAGACCAGGAAAAAAATCCCAAGATTACAAAGGTGGAGGGGGGGAGCTGATTTCATCTGAAAGTAAAGTAGGAAATCCCATATGAAATTGGGGAATACCCCTAATATGAAAACCTTGTTGGGCAAGTCAATAAGCTCTCACTGGGAGAGTTCAGGATGTGTTCAAAAGTATGATGACATGGAACATTCAATCTCCCTTGAACTAATACTTTGAATCATTGCCACCTTAAGTTGTCTGTGAAATTTTTACAGCTAAAAATACAGCTCAAATTAGTCTCCCTTAACTAAGAAGGTCAAACCAAACTAGAAGACAAGCGTGCTTACCTCATCAATAGGTTATTTCCGATACCAAAACGCATACCATACTTGACCTCTGGAAAGCTGAACCAACCTTTCTTGGTTCTCATAACTCTATAATCATGTGCAAGGGCTAACAATGCTCCACCAGCAAAGGTATGTCCTATAGAAAACAAGAAAGAAGAAAAAAGAACAACTAATTTAAACATTGCTTGTTAGTCTAATGCAAATGAGTCCAGGGCTCGAAATTAACGGTAACCCATTAACCAATGGTTAGTAATTCTCAATGTTTGGTTACTAAAAATGTGTCCAACTAACCCTACATGGTTAGTAAAATTTTCTAACATATTTAAACATTGATGAACTTCGGGACAAAGAGCACATAGACCCTACTCTCAGAGGAATACTTAGAATACTCAAGTTGTTAAATCAACTTCAACTCTTTTAAGAGAATGTGCTGTAGATGTACTGTTCTTGACTAATCATGATAAACGAGAGGGAAATAAAATAAGTGCAGAATTGTCAACGTTTTTAAGGTCACCTGCATGCCATTTCAGCTACTCTTTATTTGTCCTAGTCGTTATTATCAAAACGTTGAATATTTGAGATATTGTAACTTGTGAGCTTGGATACTAAACTTTATAATTTGGTTAGTAGAAAAGATGTCTACTAACCTGAAGGGTTAGTGCTCCAAAAATTAAATTCAAGCCCTGGAGTCTCAAGCAATTTGAAAAGTTTTTCTGAAATTTGTCGCCACCTTTAGCCCTTTAACTCCCAGGAGTGACCAAGACAGAATTTCTCCTTACAATATCAATACAATAACAAGCAGACAGGTGATGAGAATAAAGAAAAATATCAATTAGGGGATTTTCGGTTGATCCAATACAAAATTCTCCAAACCAACATCATAAGAACTGCATGGCAGACAGTAAGGAGAATCACTAATAAGTTCTTGCGAGTGAAAGGGTTAGAACACCTTATGAATTGGAGTCCACTGGTCAGTCTACTAGACTAACCATCACGTGTTTCATAAATGACCCAACACAGTTAAGCCTGGTTCACGCTAGCAACACAAGAACATGAAAAACTAAAAAGGACAGCCTAAGAGTATCAATATGTTGCTACATTTGTAGTGTGTTAATGGAAACATAATGACACAACGGTAACATATTAAAATTTAAACCCATTCACACCCAAGTACTACACATACATTCTTTGCACTGCTTGATGAACCTTTCTTGTAATTCCAACAATGAGAATTTTTATAAAGTCAAACAAAGTCATATTCCTAACTCATAGGCTTTTTTTTCCTTAGGCTTTAAATAGTATTGATTTTAAAGTGAAAAATAGCAGCAATCATATTATGTGAAAAGTGAAACCAAGAAAAAAAAAAACCGACAACAGAACCTCTTTCTACCATCGAGGAGCCTACACAAAGTATAACAAGTCCAACTGGCAATTAAGTACAGTACCATTCAATGCAGCCACTGTTAACATGGGAAATGATAATAATCTTGCCAGGAGTTTGAAAACCCAAGTCATGGTTTCTAGGAACTCTTCTGGAGTACATGTCGCAAGGAATTCTTGATCCATCCCATTTGAATAAAATTTTTCATTCCCAGTGGTGATCAGAAATTTAACCTTTTCATTTCTGAGAAGGAAGATAGAGGGGTTTATTTGAAACAAGTCAAAGGGCAACAACTTTTTAACCTTTTACACCCTAATATCAGTATGTATATTCTCTATACTATTCTCTATACATTTCCTGAGGTGTTGATATAAAGAATAAATTAAACAGTCCAAAGCTTCTTTATTTGATGATCATTTCCATTTTTCTCTTGGACAGAGCACTGGACTGTTGTGTGGGAGGTCGAGGGTTCAAGCCCCAGCCGGACCAACACTCAAGGTCTTAAAATAATTGAGAAGAATATGCTGCCTTTCTATAACATCAAGATACTTTGGATATATCAACAAAGTTGACATGGTAAATTGGCCACCATAACAATTACAAAAGCTGACGTTTCGAGCGTTAGCCCTTTGTCAGAGCAAATAGAGGAATTGTGGGTTGTGTGTGCTTTTAAAGGCAGAAAATGGAGATACATTATTGGTGGGAACATGGCAACGAGAAAAACAAGAAAAAATTAGTGGAATGAAAAGCATTTGTTGATCCCTGTGGGATTTAGACTGCCTCATTCGACTAATTTATTCTTGTTTTTCTCGTTGCCATGTTCCCACCAATAATGTATCTCCNTTTCACTCCTGTGATCTCAATTTAGTAATTCTCCTTCCCCCCTCTCCCGCTCTGCCATCTTCAACAAAGCCACTCAGTTCAAATTACTTGGACAAACTATTGATTGATACTCTTTTAAATTTCTTAGACCAATCATGATTATGATAAAAAAATTTATAAATATCTATTGGAGCAAGGTGACTTCCTTTCGAGATGAGATCGCTCCTCTTGGGGCGAAAGGGAGGGGGGTGGGGGTGATTTTCTGGTAGGAATATTAGTTGTCAAATATACTTCATTGTGCTGGCTCAGCCGCTAAGATTGCACTTTGAAACAGCCTACATCTTTTCAAGATGTTCTGATAAAAGTACACAGCTTAGCATCGTGGAGTATCAGCAGGAAAATTAACTTTAGCTCTAACGTCCATGATCGATCTGTGAAGGCAGGACTATAAAGCGGCCTTTAAAATTCTTCAAACAGTTGGGCAGCTGATAAATACCTTTCGATTTCATCCAGAGCAGCATAGAATTCTTTCAAAAAATTTACATTAAGCCCGTTTTCCCCATTTTTCATGGAAAGTATTGCATAATTGTCCGCGAACGAGACCTCAATCGTTCCACTTCCCGCCATGTTCGCGATTCATTACATTCAGCTGAGTCTTTGCGTTCATTCATCCCAGTCTCTCTCGTACAACAGAAAAACAAAATGGCGAGGAATTCCGGGATGGGACGTAAATCGAGTCGTGTGTCATTTTAACCGATCAGTCTCATTTCGCACAGAACACTCATGTCAGGGAAATCTTTCGATGTTCATTATGCATCATCTAGCTACTCTGCCACGGTACGTGTTATAAAATGCAAAGGGAATTGAGACATATGAATCAGCTCGAGAGTAATCAGTATTGACTGGTATGTCGACGTGTTTCCCTTGGAGTAGGTCTCCAGAAATAAGCTTTGGAGGGAATTATGAGTTGACTGATGTTTTAAGATTGTGGAGTAAAGCTGCTTTCATATTAGCACAGTAATTTCCCACAAGTAGGAATGTATGTTTGATTGTTTTGTTTCAAGCCTTGATGGGAGGTTGCACGTTGAAAATCCCTTTGAGTTTCTGGCCAAAATTTTGTATGATTCATGAAATTTGACCGGTAATTAAACAGATTTTCAAAAAGGGAGGCTGAATGATTAAATTAAAAGCTTCTACAGGATTGAAAAGCAGTTGGTTGCTATTTTTAAAGAACTGAGCTATATTATTGGTGCCACATGTTGGGAGTGAGGCCAATTTTAGCAGGGTTTTTGTTCCCTTTTTAAGAAGTAGGATCACAAATAACAGTAGTCATAAAAATTTGTTAACATGTAAATAATGGTCTCTGTTTGGCATAAAATCAAGCATACCATATTTCCTTGAATAAGTGCCTGGGTGCTTACCAGTATTTAAAATTTTGGCTTTTTTGGTGGTGGGGGGAGGGGGATGGGGCTATTTGAAGAATCAAAGGAGGGGGCTTCGTTAAGGAGGTCCTTACTACTCTTCTACTGATTTCACTGTAGTTGAAGCCTACTGTTTAGGTAAGTGAGGGAGGAGAGGGGTGGAGGGGGTGGAATTCTTCAAAGAGGAATGCTTGTTTGAAATTATGCACAAGGGTGCAAGCACTTATTTGGGAAGAACAGTTATTCAAGGATAAATGGTGACTGAATATTTTTCTAAGGACTTCATCATTTCTAAGACGCCAATAGTATAATTTGCACGAGTAAAGCTTAAGAACATCTGTCGGCCTCTAGGCATATCTTCAGACTAAACAGAGGTTATTGTGGTTATTAACCCCAAGTAGAAATCTCAGGATGTTCCTCAGATTTAGCACCAGGGCACATTGAGCCATGTGGTTTATAACGTCATAAATAAAAATCTTTTTTGTTTCAGGTTGCCATTATTTTCCTTTTCAACCTACTTGTTGGTGTGGGAATTCTTGCCCTTCCATCAGCCATTGCCAAAGCTGGAATTGTTGCAGGTGTCCTGTGTCTCATCACTGTGTCTTTCATGGCATTTATTAGTGTAACTTTCATGATTGAAGTGCTAGCAACTGCTAATGCTTGGCGAAGAACAAAATCAGTTTCTAGAAAAGGCAGTGCGAAAGGAGGCTTGCTTCAAAATGAAAATGTGGAAGGAAAAAATCAAATCAAGGTTAAGACCGATGTAATTTCTCCCCCATTGTTTGAAATTGAAGAGAAGTTTGAGATGGGATATTTGTCAGAGATGTTTCTTGGAAGTGTGGGATCTACTTTCTTCTATGCAGTTCTTTGCTTGTATTTATATGGGGTGAGTGAGTTTTTAACTCTTTAATTCCTTGAAGTGATTTACATGTAACTTCTCCATTTCATATCCTGCATTCATTATCCAACAACTCCCTTTCACTATCCATTCATTATCCATTGAGCTAACCTCCTGGTTAGCTCAATGAATAGAGCACTGGACTGTTG